TCCGCCATGTAAATAGCAAATGCACTATGGTGTGACACAACTGACTCTTAAAGGTAATAGGAGATGAGACTCAGGTTGGTTTATTCTTACACCTATAACTAATTATAGAATAAGCTCAACCCTGTTAGACCATGCACCGTGTTGCAAAGCAAATTTTTCCTTCCTTAAAATAGCAAAAGTGGATTTTGACATGCCCTTAATGCTTTTGCGCCCTGCGCCTTGGACTTTGCGCCTGGATGGTCAAAATAGCACCCTATATCTTCTTTAATAAAAGTTGCACATCCACCACCATTTTTGTTTTTTCTGTGTTTCTTTTCTATTACACATCCATTGATCCTAAAATCTAAGAAGCTATTTAACCAAGTTTCCTGAATACATATAATATCTTGTGCTCTTCCTTTATCAATAATACATATTTTTAAACTTTTGTCCATTTGCTATTAAGCTCCTGGCATTCCAGTCTAATAGTACAATATACAATATCCAATTATTTATCATTACTCTGACTTTCCACTCGTGAAGTGCCATTTGCATCAGTACAGATAAAAGGAACAAAGTCAATTTTGTTTATTACAAATTGTGATTATAAATCTTTTTATGGAAGATTTATTTCTTCCTGGAAATGATCTTCAACCCTATCTCCTTGATCATCACTTCTTTTGGTTTCTGCTGTATTCTTAACTTCACTGGTAGCTTCTCCTTAAGTTAAGTGGTGTACCCTTTATCTCTCTGCACTTCTCGGTCTTCTGATGTATGGGACACCCTGCATACGCTGCGCTGTGACCTACTCCACAGTTCCAGTATTTAATCTCAGCTCCTTCTTTACATTTTCCATTCTCAAGTACTTTTCCACATTTAGCACAATGCATTTTCCCTTTACAGAAGTTTGCAGTGTGACCCATGCGTTCGCATTGGAGGAATGTATTCTCGCACTGAATAACTTACAAAACCTAGCTTTAATCTTACCAGCAGTATGCTTCCTATAAACTGACTTATTGCACTCAAACTATCAAATCTTTTATTATCTTATGTTTGTAAACACTTAGCAGAAATGACTGTGCCTCCATTTAAGTTTCCTTTGATATCTTCCATACTGACACTGAGCGGTTCTTGTAAAATGACTCAACGACTTTTATTGCCAATTTATTTGCCACTGCATGTTCAAACCAACAGGCCCATAAGATATGAAGATACAGTCGAAGTCAGAATTATTTGCCCCCTTCCCAATATTATTTTTTAATTATTTCCCAAATGATGATTAACAGAGCAAGCAAATTATTAGTATGTCTGATTATATTTTTCTTCTGGAAAATTTTGTTTTATTTTGACTATAATAAAAGCAAGTTTTAATTTTTAAAAGCCCTTTTAAGGTTAAAATTATTAGCCCCTTTAAGCTATATATTTTTTCAATAGTCTACAGAACAAACCATTGTTTTACAATAACTTGCCTTATTACCCTAACCTGGCTAGTTACCCTAATTAACCTAGTTAAGCCTTTAAATGCCCTGTTAAGCTGTATAGAAATGTCTTGAAAAAATCTAGTAAAATAATGATAATAATTCTGACTTAATTTAATTAATTTATGGTAGGTTATTTATTAAGTATCTGTACTGTATATGACATGAGCCTGTTGGTTAGAACATTTCTGCTGTGATTCACGTGTCAAATTCTAAAAGTAAACTTTTCTAAAAATAAAATAAAACAACAATTTCCTATAATAATAATAATAATCACAATCATTAATAATATTTTATAATATTATTAATGATATTAGAATGCTTGTTAGCTTTTGTAAGAGATTTTATGTTTTAAAATAGAACATGTAATGTTCTCAATAATAGTTGTAAAGGAAACATTAGTTCTATATGAGCCGTTTACAAATATTTCAGTTAATGGAAAATGAAGACATTTTGTAAAACAATCTGGATTTTTGTAGAATGATTTTAGGAGTATCATAACTTAAAACTTATACTAAATATATGAAATAAAAAATAATAAACTTTTTTAAACTTTTTTTTTGTTTTTAAACTTGTATTTAATGTTTACAATGCAAATCCAATTAGATCTACTTTATTGGTAAACAAAGCAAGTCTCCTATATAATATAACTAGTAAAAGACAGAAAATATTACTGTACAAACTTTAGAAAAAAACATATGAACATTTTTTAAATTAGCTATTATATCAAGATAATATTAGTAAAATTTATTGAAAAACAGAATAAATAAAAATCTTTTTTTATTAATTTACTCGATGGGCTAATAATCTGCAGAAATCTCAGGATTTCTGCACGCGCATATTCTGTGTGGGCCTACTTATGAGATATAAAGTCACAATTTTTTTATAATTACAACTCTTATTCTAACAACTAAAATTTAGTTTGCAATAATGAGTTATTAACTTTCAAAAAAGAAAAAAAAATACATATGATACTTAGATGTTGACTATTTACCTTTGATGAGGCACATGCTTATAAATATATAATGAAGAAGTTGCTTTATTTATACTAATGTAGTCATATTGTTTAAACCAAGTTTCAGTGCATTAAGATTATTGTTTTTCGTTATTTTATTACCAATAAGTGCTTTAGGTGCTAGTGATCTGATGTTAAGAAGACTGGTATGTGATTGTTCTGTATAAATATGGATTTCCATATTTTCTGAGCTCAATGTGGCAGCTCCTGTAATTTGCTTAAATCATATATATATATATATATATATATATATATATATATATATATATATATATATATATATATATATATATATATATATATATATATATATAAAAAGGGAGATGGGTATCAGTGAGGTTCATCATCAAAGCAGATGACCTTATGGTTTTTCCTGTCATTATTCATCAATGTGCTTGTGCACAAGAAGGAGCAGCAACTGCTTCATTCCGGGCCTCATTCCGGGATTTAATTGTAGACCAACTCAAAATTCCAAGAAAAACAGTCATAACTGTGAAAATTACAATTATGTTTTTATTACATAGCATAAAAAAATGTGTAAAATAAGATACAACAGAAACTCAGAATTGCAAGAATAAAAAAAAAATAAAAATCTAAATTGCAACAGGGATTTTAAAGAATCATCAGGGTCTCTGTTTCTAATTACTGTGTCAAGTTTAGACACTCTATTTTTGTTTGGTTGTATTATATTTTTTTATAATTACAACTCTTATTCTAACAACTAAAATTTAGTTTGCAATAATGAGTTATTAACTTTCAAAAAAGAAAAAAAAATACATATGATACTTAGATGTTGACTATTTACCTTTGATGAGGCACATGCTTATAAATATATAATGAAGAAGTTGCTTTATTTATACTAATGTAGTCATATTGTTTAAACCAAGTTTCAGTGCATTAAGATTATTGTTTTTCGTTATTTTATTACCAATAAGTGCTTTAGGTGCTAGTGATCTGATGTTAAGAAGACTGGTATGTGATTGTTCTGTATAAATATGGATTTCCATATTTTCTGAGCTCAATGTGGCAGCTCCTGTAATTTGCTTAAATCATATATATATATATATATATATATATATATATATATATATATATATATATATATATAAAAAGGGAGATGGGTATCAGTGAGGTTCATCATCAAAGCAGATGACCTTATGGTTTTTCCTGTCATTATTCATCAATGTGCTTGTGCACAAGAAGGAGCAGCAACTGCTTCATTCCGGGCCTCATTCCGGGATTTAATTGTAGACCAACTCAAAATTCCAAGAAAAACAGTCATAACTGTGAAAATTACAATTATGTTTTTATTACATAGCATAAAAAAATGTGTAAAATAAGATACAACAGAAACTCAGAATTGCAAGAATAAAAAAAAATAAAAATCTAAATTGCAACAGGGATTTTAAAGAATCATCAGGGTCTCTGTTTCTAATTACTGTGTCAAGTTTAGACACTCTATTTTTGTTTGGTTGTAAGCCCCACAATTTTAAACCCCTTCGTTTCAGGTTTTGTTTTTCGATCATGAGTCTGAATGTAACTCTGTTAAGTTCCTGTCAAGTACCATCCCAGCAGTCCCACAACGTCAAAAGATGTTGGTATTACTGTAAGTTAGATGTAGGTCTTGATGTTGAGTGACAAAAATTCAATGTACATTCAATAACAACGTCAAATGACGTTGATATTTGGGTTTTATTTGGGTTACGTTGGTAAGTGACCAAAATCCAACCTCGAGCCAACATCTTCAGTCAATGTCATATTGATGTCAAATACTGATATTTATCAGGAATGGCAACCAAAATCCATCTGATAGACATCATAGTGTTAACGTCCATACAACATCAAGCTGTAACAGCATTATACATTGTAACGTTATTACATCTTTGATATTTGGTTGTTATTAGGTTGTATTTGAAGTTGACCAAAATGCAACGTCTGTCTGACGTTGTAAACTGATGTTGGATTTTAAGGTCAACACGATTTTCCTTTCCACCCAAAATCCCATATACTGTGATGTTGGGGAACAATGCAATCTGACGTTATATTGTTATATTGTTATTGTTCTGTGCCTGCTGGGATGCCTTGTATGCCTTTTTATCCCATTATTTACCCTTTTTTTAAATTTCTGGCAAGAGACTGTCAAAGAAGAAGGTGACAGTCTGTTACCGAAAGTTACACAAACCATTTATGAAGTTTTAAATATGGATAATTTTAAATTAAATTTAATTAAATTAAAAAGAGCCACTTGAGGCAGTTTTTATAATGGATTGATTCACTTTATTAGACTTCCTTTAGACTGTTGGGAAAAAAAATACAGCTATTGTCATTTAGTACTGGACAATCCCAAGATAAATTGAGTGTATCCAAAGCTCTCTATTTTTGATCAAACTAATGTGCTTTACTTGGCCTAACCAATCACAATCAAAGACTGGAACTATTCCTTTTATAGAGATGGTTTACTTTTAGTTCTGTATTTACTCACAACACTTGCAATGACTTATTTGTTATTTTTCTTTTTGTCTTATCAGGGGGAGTGTGCTTATTTTGAGTACCTGTCTCACTCATTCCATAATAACATCATAACCGGTTTATCCACCTGCATTCGCAAACCACTCATTGCCACAAGCTCCCTGGACCGCTCTGTGCGCATATGGAACTTCGAGACCAAGTATGTTTAGCTTTGTTAAAGAGACAAGGTGTTGTCTGCATTATTATTAATGTTTAATTAAAGAGGCAGTGATTTTATTTTTACAATCTTGTCAACATTTACTTGAAGTTCTGTCTGTGTAAACAGATTGTGTGAACAAATTAATACATTAAGAAGTGCCGATAACCCACTGATTTTCCCCAGATTACAGGCCAATCCATTGGTGAGCTTGTTAACTTTCAAATCGGCCAAAAATTCTTTAGTGTGAGAAAAAAAATTAGAGCATTCCCCTTCGGGTGGGGAACTTCAATGCTATAGTGGAATTAATTCACTTCTGGGAAATGTCTGGAAAACACCATAATGACTCCACCTTACCTCCATCTCTGATGAGAGGTTTGCCAGGCAAGCGTGAGCGCACCTGCATCATAGAGAGGCATGGTCTTCCAACGTGTTCCCTTGCCTTTACTTATCCCAGATCAATAAACGATTTTTGGATTTAAATTTATTTTCCGGGAGCCGCAAAACATCTAGATAGTTTCTAGAAATTTAAATTCGACAGTACTTTGGGAAAGCCTGCAGTTCCGATAGGGAGGATGCTGCGGAGGCCACCTGCTATCCATGGAATGGCTATTTCGCATTCACAAGTTTAGTTAATTTTGACTGACATGAAATCATAAAAGCAAATAATAATGGTATAAAACAACAGAGAGTTGTAAGAAAGCATTTGATGCATGTCCAAAAGCATTTGCAATTTGTTGGAAGGAATGAGAAACTGCTACTGTGATGTGCACAAATGACTAATTGTTTTGAAAAATGCATTAACTGTTGTGCACATGTAAATAGTGTTGTGAGAAATGTACCAAAGCGACTGAGAAAAACTGTAACATTTAATTTTTAACATTTAATGATAAATGGCTGGTCAACAACAGATTGAAGGGGAAACAACTTGAATTAATTGCAACATTGCAATACTGTGTATTGCATTAGCACTGTTATATCAAACTGTCATATAGCCCATAACAGTCTCTCATGTTTATTTATTTTTAATTTTGTGAAAAATAATTTTAAATATGTGGTTTCAACAACCAGATGCATTTAGACCTGTCCAGTTTTTATATCTTGCTGTTCAAACTATGAATAATATAAATTAACAGTATTTACAATATTTAATTTACAATTGTTTGAAAAATTACAATTAAGCTTGCATTTTAGCAAGTATGCATTAAATTGACCATATGCACAGTTGTCATCATAAGTTTTCTGGCTGGCTTAAGAATGGTCAGTTGTTAATAAATAATAAATAAATAAAAACATTAACTTTAAATATTAAAAATAAAGTTTATTTTAAATAAGTAATGTTCTTTAAACTTTCATTCTCAATCAAACATATATGTTACAAACATAAAACATTTAAGCAGCACAACTGTTTAAAATAAGAAATGTTTCTAGATTTTTTACAGTTTAAAATATATCTGTTATTTTAAATTGCTCGAACCTTACTGTAATCTCTAATTAATGTTAGTATATTTGGTACTGTTATATATACAATTATATACCATAAATATACCTTTACTTAACATTTAGATTGATAGATTTGAAGTTGACAGCCGGAAAAAAAAAATGCATTTTAAAAAGCAATCAAAATATGTCTGGTCTAAGGTGTCAGATCCTTTAAGAGAGTCACTTTTGTAAGAGTGAATTTGTGTTCTCTAGTGTTTTAGAGCTGTACAAGGAATTCCAGGAAGAAGCCTACAGTGTTGCTCTTCACCCCACTGGACTTTACATCCTGGTGGGATTCTCTGACAAACTTCGTCTCATGACTCTTCTCATGGATGACATCAAGATTTTCAAGGAATTTACCATACGCAATTGCCGTGAGGTGCATCTCTAAATTGCTCAAACTGCCTTTCTCATTTGTACTTTTTATTTATGTTACCCATTTCAGAATTGTTGGTATATTTTAAAAATATAAAAAAAAATAGATTTTCATTTCTTCAGTGTCAGAAGCCTGTTTCACAAAACTAGTTGAACAAACTGGCTGGCGGAGTAGGTTGCAGGTTGACAAATCCCAAGAAAAGCAAACTGGTTAAAATCAAGTTGTTGTTTAACAAAGGCTGATATAAATGTACTGTTATTTTGGATTTCTCACAGATATTAACATCAATATTAATATTATTATTGAAATTTTAGCATGTAATGTAGATTTTTTTTTTGGATTGTCTTAAATATAAAAAAATAATATTTGTAATAATATTGACATTAAAAAAGTAGCTTGGGGGCTACTCTTTCAAAAGAGGTGCTGTCGAGCAATGTTGCCACACCCACTTCTAGAACCAATAACAAACATACAGCTTTGCCTCTTCTGGGGCCTGTTTCAGAAAGGAGGTTAAGTGAAAACTCAGAGTATTTTTACCCTGAAATGAGAAAAACTCTGGGTTTTCCGTTTCAAAATGCCAGGTTTGTTAAACTCAAGAAGGCAGGGTTAGTCAAGCCTGTTTCTAAAAGAGAGGTAACTTCAGTTACTGTGGTAACTTACTCTGTGAACCTAATCTGGGGCCTGTTTTAGTAAGGAGGTTAAAACAACTCAGAGTTTAAACTTAAACTCTGAGTTGATTTACCGAGTGATTAAAAACTCTGAGTTTTCGGTTTCAGAATAGCTGATCTGAGTTAGGTTAATCAACTTTGAGTAGACCAACTCAGAGTTGCGCACATCGTGACTATTAAAAGGCATTATCAATAGAGCACAGACATTATAAGTGACTATGCCAACATCTTAAAAAAAGAGATCACCATTTCTTACTCTGGCTGAACTTGATCTGCTCATGCAAAGTTATAGCAAATATAAGTGTATATATTTAAAAGAAGCAACCATCAGTGAAACAGAGACAGTTAGCCTGGGAAAACAGCTGCTCAAGTTAATGCGTATTTTTTTAATTTAAAGTATTTAAATATTTAAATATAATAAAATAATTAATGTTATGTGTGCTGTTTATACTTTTTTCTAAACGTTTATACACGTTTATCAGTTTTAATAGATTTAACAGTGCACTTGTGTGTCTGCCTTTTTATTGATCAAGTGATAGACGTTGATATAACATTTAGAAGGTAAGCAGTGCTAAAAATAATTTTTAGACAGAATAATAATCCCATTAATCTAGTAACAGTACATGTCGAAGGTTAAGCTGATTATTCATGAAAAAAGGACAGACCTCGTACGTGATTTTGTTCTGTGTGTGACAAAAATGTAGGCAATAGCTGTGTTTCCATCAAAATATATTACATAAATTTGTGCAAAACTGGAATAACGCCTAAAAGATGCGAATAAAGCAGCGTTTTTATCCAACGTGTCAAAAAAAAAACAATCATCACTTCCTGATTAACTTGCGCCAAATATCTACAGTAAAAACAGAATTGATTTTTTGTTTAATTAATGTACTTGCGCCTCAGAAGACAATTGACACACAATGAACACGTGGGGGCGTTTGAAGCCAGACGCAGAGACTCTTGACACGCTCCAGACGCTCGGAGGTAATTAATAATATACACTAATACTGAAACAGTTAAGGCATTTTAGAATGACTAAAACAACATTTAAGATGTTCTACAGTGTGCTCAGTCTGCTGGTTTGTCCATTCACACACATTTTTATCATCATCTCTAACAAACCTTTTTTTAATGTACATACTGTAATTTGTTAAGTGCACTTCGTAGTTTATGCGCATCTTTTCTTATCAAATAAAATTTTATCCTACTCAGTTATGCACATGTTTTATTATGTGTATTTTCAAAAGTTATGTGCATCATTACATTTCCATCAATAGTTTTTATGGGCATCTCCAAAATGAGCTCTAAAATAGGTGTGTGGAAACGTAAGGCTAAGGCGAGAAATACGCTTTATCTTTAAAAAAGGGGAGGAGACCGACAGAATCTCAGAGTTTAGAGAATAAAACCTGCTCCGGACCAGGTTAGATTCACAGAGTAAGTTACCACAGTAAAGTTACCTCTCTTTCAGAAACAGCCTTGACTTACCCTGATTTCTTGTGTTTAACAAACCTGCCATTTTGAAATGTCTACACTCATATTTGCTATAACGTTGCATGATCACATCAAGTTCAGCTGGGGAAAGAAATGGTGATCTCTTTTTTTAAGATGTTGTCATGGTCACTCCATTGATAATGCCTTTTTATAGTCTAGGTGTGCGCGCTTAACTCTGAGTTGGTCTACTCAAAGTTGATTGACCTAACTCAGATACGCTATTCTAAAACCGGAAACTCTGAGTTTTTAATCTCTCTGTAAATCAACTCAGAGTTCAAGTTCAACTCTTGAGTTGTTTGAACCTCCTTACTGAAACAGGCCCCTGGTGTGTGTGCGAAGTTTTGTGAGTTTTTGAGCATGTTTAGGCTGTTAAAATTGATTAATTTTTGCAAAAAAGAAGAAAAGTTAGAAGTATAATAAACTGAGCAATAGGCCCTACACACCAATAGAGCTCAGTCCCTAATAATGATAAAAATAATAATAATAATAATAATAAACGCTTCAATGCTTGACAGATGGACCTCGCACCCAGGCTCACTACCACCTTGGGACAGCAGAGAACCGTAGACAATAATAATTTAAGCTGATAAATGTAAAAAACCTGAGGAAATCACTTATTCATGCCAAACTTCCTTCTATCAGCAGATGACGCTATGACTGCGAATTAATATTGGCAAGTGAATGTCTTTAAAAGAGTAATCTCATCAAACCTGTGAATTTTCAGGCTGATCAGACATTGTTTGGCTAAGTTATAAGTACTTCCTCAATGGCGAAACACTAAAATTTGTCAGTCTGCCACGGACTCGCACTTTGACAAAATTCTAGATCTTCACAATCTAACATCACAAAGGGATTTGTCTTATACTGACAAAACTTGGATGCAATATGATAAAATATATATGAGTGTGTTACAATGTAAAGCATGTCACTTCCTGTTGCTAGCAGGTGGAACTAAGACTGTAGCAGTTCCAATAGGGCCTACACACCTCACAGTAGGTGCTTGGTCCCTAATTAAATGTGCAAGCAGCGATAAAAGGGACCTCACACCTGGGCTGACCGCCGCCTGGTGGCCCTAGAATGACATAGAATACTGGACAAGGCATTGGCTATGACTGTGACTCAATATTGGCATGTTGATGTTTTCAGGAAAGAAATCTCATCGAACCTGTGAATTTACAGGCAGATCGGACATTATTTGGCCAAATTATAAGTACGTCCTTTTCCATGGCGAAACACTGAACTTTATCACAATCAAAACAATGAGGTTCAGTGAAGACTAGCAGAGGGCCGCTTTAGCCAGTCTCTCTGCTCCCTTAGCAGCCCCAGTGGCTCAAGTGCCAACATTAACTACTGCCAAATTACCAGAGAGAAGAGCTGCCCTAGCCCAGGTGGGATTAAAACCATCTCTCTTCATCAGTTCCGGTCTACCCCAGAAACTTGCTTAACAGTCTACAAACTATGCAACTCATTGGACACCTCTTATACATTCAAATGGAGCGTCAGCATCAATGCTTTACAGATGGCATGTGTCTGAAACTTTGTGCTGACACGATCGTCATAGCAGCTTCAGCCTATGAATTTAGAGTGCAATTGGCTACTGTTTAAGCTGGGGTACTTGCATAAAGCAATCTGATTGGCTAGTGCTTCCATAGGCACTTGAAAGGGAAGTGTTGACACTGATGCCCCATGTGAATCACAACTGTTTTACTTGTTTTTATTTTTGAAAAACAATAGAAGATTTATCCTAGTCTAGGAGATGCAAAATGTACTCCCAATTCCAGAATTACTCAAGCACAGAAAGAAGACATTGTTCTTTTAAAGTTTCATCCATTATATGCTAATATACTTAATTTTCTATGCTTTGGTCCATAGTGTACATTCAGTCATGGTGGTCACTTGTTTGCTGCTGTCAATGGAAACGTGATCAACATCTATTCCACTATCACATTTGAGGAGATCCTAAACCTGAAGGGACACAATGAAAAAGTAAGTTTCCTGATGTTTAAAGCAATATTTCACCCCATTTGAAATTTGTCTTCAGTTACTTAACATCACATTGGCGAAAGTCATGTGCATTTACCAATAGCTTAATACAACCCCAGTTACCAAAAAAGTTGTGAAGTTTTGTAAAATGTACTGAAATCAATAATCTGTCATTCTGTTAATTGCCTTTAACTTGTATGTAATTTGCAAAAGTACAAAGAAAATATTGCTATTCATTTCTTCACCAGCAAATTTAAATTGTTTGCTGCAACACAAATTAAATAGCTTTGAAACAGTCTACAATAAGCTGATTAACTGGGGATACTGTTTTTTTTGTTTTTGTTTGTTTGAATTTGTCTTTTTGGGGCTGTTTACACATGGACACCTCATCCGATCATGAATAGAACAGATCTAAATTTACTACGAAATGGGATTTATATTCGAGATGAATATAAATCCCATTGATCAAACCACTTCAGAAAGTGGTCTGGTAAACATTTCTGGACAGGTATACATTCATCTGATTATTGATACCACATATGTAAATTTTTCACTTCTCAAAAGTAAAATAAAATAAAAATATGTGAGCGCACATACAGTGCATCAAAAAAAGTATTCATATCGCTTCACTTTTTCCAATTTTTTTATGTTACAGCCTTATTCCAAAATGGATTATATTCATGTATTTCCTCAAAATTCTACACACAATACCCCATAATGACAATGTGAATTTTTTTCTTTTTTTGAAATTGTTGTAAATGTATTTCAAATAAAAAAAAAACCCTGAAATATCACATGCACATAAGTTTTCACAGCCTTTACCGTGAAGCTCTAAATTGAGCTCAGGTACATTCTGTTTCCACTGATCATTCTCGAGATGTTTCAGCAGCTTCATTAGAGTTCACCTGTGGTAAATTCAGTTGATTGGACATGATGGTCCCCGATGGTCACTCCATCTGAGCTCCAGCATTCTTCTGTGAAGAGAGGAGAACTTTAAAGAAGGAAAACAGTCTGTGCAGCTATCCACCAATAAGGCCTGTATGGTAGTGTGGCCAGATGGTAGCCACTCCCCACCTGAAATTTGCCAAAAGGCATCTGCAGGACTCTCAGACCATAAGAAACAAAATTCTCTGGTCTGATGAGACTAAAATTGAACTGAAGAACTCATCACCAGGCTAATACCATCCCTATTGTGAAGCATGGTGGTGGTAGCATCATGCTGTGGTGATGTTTTTCAGCAGCAGGAACTGAAAGACTAGCCAGGATAGAGGGAAAGATGAATGCAGCAAAGTACAGAGACATCCCTAGCAAAAACCTGCTTCAGAGTGCTCTTGACCTCAGACTGTGACGCTCAATAATTAGGACGTGGAACCCAATTGCAAGTAAACAGTGTTTTAATGATGATCACAAAAAGACAGAGAAAATTGGTGAGTGGCTGGAAGTACACAGTCTTAGTAGAAGGAATAAACAGTAGCGTTCTGGTTCGGCAGCACCGATAAAAAGTTCATGACACTCGTCAACAGAGTGGATCAAACAGTCATCACTGAAGAAACCGGAAGCATCAGATAGTGCAACGAGGAATTAACCGAGCCACTCACCACCAGCGAGAATCAGCGGGATGATCCTGATAAAAGAGAAAGCACAGTGAGCATACAACAAACTGACAAGGTGAGACAGGAACGCTGAACATTTTTTTGTCATAAAAATGCGCTACACCTGTAGCGCGCTGATTATCAGCCGAGCGGCGTTAGGCAATAGTTCCGGTAACAATGATCATGTGACCGTTCAGCTGATGACATGAAAACAAACACCCACTGACAGGCACGTGACTCCCACTCAAACACAGAGAGAAAAGCACACATACTTAGAAACACATACCATATTAATGAACTGTCACACAACGCAGACACTTCAAATAAAGAGCAGATAGATCCACAACCGTGACATAACCCTCTCCCCTAGGGACGCCTCCTGGCGTCCCCAGATGAGCCTACCTGCTGATTGTAATCATCAATAAGAGAGTGGTCCAATATGTCCCCGGCCGGAACCCAACTTCTCTCCTCCGGACCGTAACCTTCCCAGTCCACCATGTACTGAAATCCTCGTCCTCTCCGTCTAGAGTCCAGAATGCGCTTAACCGAATCAGTCTCCCCATCTACGAGACGCGGCGGAGGGGGAACTGGTGTTTGTGGATTAATTGCCGTATGAAAAACAGGCTTTATTTTGGATACATGAAACACGGGATGAATTATCCTGTACGCTGGAGGTAATTTGAGGCGGATTACCACAGGATTAATGATTTTAGTGACAATAAAAGGGCCGATAAATTTAGATGCTAACTTACTACAGACGGTGCGGAGCGGAATGTTTTTAGTAGAAAGCCACACTTTTTGACCGACAACGTAAACGGGAGGCTTAGACCGGTGGCGATTGGCTTTAGCCTTGGTGCGCGTCCCCACTTGGAGGAGGGTCTGTCTGGCCCTATTCCAAGTGCGGCGGCAGCTCTGGACAAAGGCGTGAACAGAGGGAACCGCAACTTCGGATTCCAGACTGGGAAAAACTGGTGGCTGGTAACCTAGACTACACTGAAACGGAGAAAGGCCCGTGGCAGACACTGGTTACGAATTATGTGCGTACTCCACCCACGAAAGTTGTTGGCTCCAAGAGGATGGATTCTGCGAGACCAAACATCGCAATGTGCGCTCAAGATCCTGATTGGCTCTCTCGGTCTAGCCGTTACTCTGGGGATGAAAACTAGAAGAAAGACTAACAGTGGCCCCCAATAAACGGCAGAATTCTCTCCAAAATTTAGAGACAAACTGAGGCCCCCTGTCAGAGATCACATCCGTCGGGAGACCATGAATGAGAAAAACATGATCAATGATAGCAACTGCTGTCTCTCTGGCTGATGATAATTTGGGCAGAGAGATAAAATGAGCAGCCTTCGAGAACCTGTCCACCACGGTCAAAACTACCATGTTACCGTTAGAGGATGGAAGACCCGTAACAAAATCTAGCGAAATGTGTGACCAGGGTCTCGAAGGCACTGACAGTGGTTGGAGAAGTCTAGCAGGTGGGCGATTGGAAGACTTGGAAACCGCACAGAGCAAGCCAAAACAAAATCATGCACATCATGAGCCATAGTTGGCCACCAAAATTGTTGTTTGATAACAAATAATGTGCGACTCACCCCTGGGTGACAAGCTACCTTGGAGGAATGACCCCACTGGACGACGTCGGACCGTAATCCCTCTGGCAGGAACAAACGACTCGGTGGACATCCGATCGGGGGCGTTACCCCATCCAGGGCTGCACAGTCCCTCGACTCGATCTCCCAAGAAATGTTTGCTACGACTATGTTCTGAGGGAGCACAGGATCAGGAAATGACTTGCGATCCGAAGGATCGAAAAGACGTGATAACGCATCAGGTTTGATGTTTTTGGAACCTGGTCTGTACGAGATGGTAAAATTAAACCGTCCGAAAAATAATGCCCACCGAGCCTGCCTGGAATTCAATCTTTTAGCGGATCTAATATATTCAAGATTTTTATGATCAGTCCAGACGATAAAAGGCACCCCCAAGCCATCTAACCAGTAACGCCACTACTCAAGCTTGACGGCCAACAACTCTCGATTACCAATGTCGTAATTTCTTTCTGCAGGAGAAAATCGATGAGAAAAATACGCGCAAGGATGGACCTTGCCATCCGAGGCGGAGCGCTGGGACAGGATGGCTCCGATCCCAACCTCTGAAGCATCGACCTCCACGACAAACTGCCGGGAAGGATCAGGGGCAATGAGGACCGGGGCTGAAACGAAGCAGCCTTTTAATTTGGAAAAGGCAGCTTCGACTGCACTGGACCACCTAAATGGCGTTTTGGAGGAGGTCAAGGAAGTCAGAGGTGCGGCGAGCTGGCTGAAATTGCGAATAAAACGCCGGTAAAAATTGGCAAAACCCAGTTACCTCTGCAGGGCCTTACGGGAATCTGAGGTTGGCCAATCTACCACAGCCTGAATCTTCTCTGGATCCATGCGCATCCCCTCGACTGACACGATATGTCCCAAGAACTGAACTGACTGTGCATGAAAAACGCATTTCTCCGCCTTGACATAAAGCCTATTCTCTAACAGCCTCTGCAACACTCGTCTGACATGTTGAATGTGCTCCTGGAGAGAGTGGGAAAAAATCAGAATGTCATCCAGGTAGACATAAACTGATCTATCATATCTCTCAACATGTCATTGACGAGTGCCTGGAAAACAGCCGGAGCATTGGAAAGGCAGAAGGGCAGAAAGCAGTACTCAAAATGCCCTCTAGGGGTATTAAAGGCTGTTTTCCACTCATCCCCGGGTCTTATGCGAACCAAATGATAAGCATTGCGAAGATCTAATTTTGTGAAAAAGATCGCCCCTTGTAGGCGCTCAAAGGCTGAAGACATCAGTGGCAAAGGATAATTATTCTTAACCTTGATGCTGTTTAGCCCTCGATAGTCTATGCACGGACGAAGGGAACCATCCTTCTTTTTCACAAAAAAAAATCCCGCCCCCGCCGGTGAAGAAGACGGGCAGATGATCTTGGCTGCTAGAGAATCAGAAATATATTTCTCCATGGCCTCCCTCTCTGGAACAGACAGCGAATATAACTTGCCTTTAGGCAATAAGTCTATAGCACAGTCATAGTGACGGTGAGGAGGTAGAGAAGCAGCCCGGGACTGTCTCTTCAGGTCATGGTACTCACGGGGCATGTTTGACAGATCCACCCGCTCTTTCTAACACACAGAACAAGAAACAGTGGAACACACAGACAATAAACAAGACTTATGACAGCTCTCGCTCCAAGAAAAAACTGTGTTCTGGCCCCAGTTAATATGTGGCTTATGTAACACCAACCACAGATGTCCCAGGATAACAGGATTCTTAACAGTCTTAGTGAGAAAGAAGGAAATAGTTTCAGTATGGTTTCCTTAAGTGATAAGTCTAATAGGGGCCGTGATATGCGTGA